CAGGTATTAGCTACGAGTCTGTTTCTCTCAAAAAAGGGACTTGGTGAGCGTGAACGCTTCGAGCTTCGCAGGGAGCCGAGACCACAAAAAAAGTTGACCACGGATTCGAAGCGGGAAAATGAGAATTTAAGAGTTCCTTGAGCACTTCAATTTCCCCAGTTTTGCCTGGATACACTCCTCGTTGAGTTCTACAACAAGCAGCAGGAGCGATCGTACTAGTGAGCACACAGCTGTTTCTCTGATAAAGCGTTTTCATGCCGCTACCGTCCAGTATAAAGGCTAATATTCCGAACTAATCAGTTATAAATGCTTCACCATTTGTGTGCATTGCATGAGTCGAGGATTTCCTCATTTGTATTACATGCACACCATAGCTGAATAGCGTTAGAGACATGAGAAATTCTGAAGAAAATTTAGGATGGCATAAGCATTTGACGCGGCCCATTTTCTTCAAAAGAACAGAGCAAATCAAATCCACGCGTTAACCAAAATCAAACAACACCGTTCCTAGTTTTCCGACACGCCGAAACCGATGGTTGCTATGCCGATTTACGAAATTTCCAAATAAGTCGGAAAACTGAAAAAATTAGGGGGTGGCATATAAAATTGACGCGCACTGTAGTTTGTTCTCGTAGTGACAAATTTTCGCAAGTTGACGTTCCAAAATTCGCGAAAAAAAAACGGAGTTAGCCTGAATAATAGTTAGTACCATTTTCATGATTGGGACCGTCAGCTAACCTTTAACAGATAGATTTTTAAAAAAACTGGGCGAAAAAGGTGTGACACCACGGTGGGGCTGCTTGGTGTCACATCTCTTACACCAATGATATGAGAGTAATAAGAAGTCTTTTTGCTGAAGAAGTATCTGCAGCGTCGTTTTGCTGTTTGCTGATTACGGGCTAAATCCTGCGCGCGGTGGTAACATCGCGATGCCGTCTAATTTCTTGTGACATGTTTGACTCTTACCACTGGTTCTACATTCTCTATGCGAGAGCGTGTGTAAGCTGACAAATAAATAAAACCTACTCACAATTAAAGTACCCTGCTGAGAATGGCAAGCAATAGCAATCTTCGTAGATCGTCCAGATTTGAGAAGGCTTGCGTGAAGAGTTCTTGAAGTGATAAATTGAAGTGCTCCTGATCAAGACTACATTATTTTATTCTTATTTCTAATGTAATATTTAGGTTTCCTCCTGGCGAAAATTTTAATGCCTGGCCTGTACGTTCAGAGGATGATTTGAAGGTTTATGTGGATGAGGAATCACCTCTCCGGTTCCTTCCACCACTCCCCAAGTTCGGCGATACTGAGAGGTATGGACTCAAACTGGCCCCATTTTAGACCTAAAACAGTATCCTATAATTTCAGAGGATGGTTTATGATTCAAGACTTTCTATTTGCTCTGCCGCTGTCAGCCTTCGTTCTGACTGTACATGTCAACAAAAAAATTGATGTTAGTCGATAGTTTATGTTTCGTATTCATTTTATTTTTATTATCAGATTCATCACCAACATATTTGTTCAGAAAGCCGTGTTGCAATCATACCTGTCGGACCCTATTAAACGGCACATCTGCATTGGTTGCCTTCCCAATGAAGTGCGGAATCCCATACTCAAGGTATTGTTTACTGTTCTTTGCTTTCTGATACAGAGCTTGGTAGTCCTTAGACTCAAATTTCACCATTGTTCGTCTGAAAATTGCTACGACATTACTCAGGCGTGAGTTGGGGCTTTTATGAACATCTAAAAGGATTCGTAGGTAGCTCACAATTGGTAGACAAAAATAGTGTTGTCGTCGATAAAGACAGGAAAAGTCGTTTGGAATCTGGGTGAAACGAATGCTGATAAATGAGCTCCGCAGATAGCATGGCGGAGGTTTTTAGATTCGAGAACTCGTATCCTTAGGGGTATGTGTTTGCGCAACTTTTTTCGCTCACGGATAGTATCATGGATAACGTTTCCTATCCTTATTTCGCGGCTAAGGGGATCACAACGGTTGCTTTGATGTAAACGTTTTAACTGAGCATTTAGGACAAGAAAATAGTCCGTCAATTGGAGCACATTATGCTTACACTTTGCGCCTTGGGTTTGATGGCGATTGCTCCGAATCCCGACGTCAAGCGTTTTGTATCCCCTCGTTCGTCAGTGTTTTATGTTAGCAGGAGGTATGTTGCTTTGTTCTCCATCCAAATAGAAAGTCACTAATGATTTTGTTCGACTTGTTTTTGTTTGTTAGCTGCTGTTTTTGGCCGCAGTTCGCC